AAATCCCTTTTGCATCCGGTGGGACTCACCTATTAAATCAAATACAAGTAGCTTTTTCTGTTTACATAACTTACACCTGAATGTTCTGGCTTGGTTTAGCTAAAAACACCCAAACAAAACACAGCACTGACATATAATTCCTTCCAGTCAACTGGGATTGACCATGATTTCTCCTAAGATATTGCATGCTCATTAAGTGAGAGAAAATAAAAGAAGTCACAATGTATCTATGCATTTAAAAATGCAAAAGCTGAGTACAATCCTGACCTCATAACCAGCAAACTCTGAAACTTGCCTGTGCAATTCATGCAACCATCCCAAGGAGCAGTGACTAAAGTYATTGCCTCTGGATRTACCTGCAACCCAGCAAATGAGGGRAAAAGAAATTTCAATAATATAAGAGCTTGAAAAGTACCTACTGCTTTAACTTCTGAGAGTAAAAAAAGGAATATGGACAAAACCCAAGTAAAAGGACACATCATTGGGCAGTTGGTATTACAACAAGCAGCAGGGAATCCCACAGTTAAACTTCCTCTGGCTGCAAATCATTTCAGCTAACACCACAATTCCCAAGGGTTGTGAGAAAGGACGGCACAGCTTTGGATATTTGCATGCAAATTGTTAGGGATGTTACCAAAAATGAGATAGCTCAGTTTCAGCTCTTATAGTGAAGTTGGGGTTTGCTTTTTTTGCCATTAAAATTTTTCTTATCCGAAACAGTCAGAAAAAGTAATAATTCTCATTGATGTTTGATCTACTTCTTTAGCAGTCACACACCAGCAACAAGGCAAATTGACACAATGCCTGTGGTGAAGCATGGAAACCCTTCTGCAATCACCTGAGGCACTTCTGATTATAAAAAGGACAGCAGAGGACACACGTAAGAAGTAACACCTTGTTACCTGTCTTGGTGCAAAGATAAAAAAAAAATAAAAAAAAAAAAAAAAAAAAAAAAAAAAAAAAAAAAAAAAAAAAAAAAAAAAAAAAAAAAAAAAAAAAAAAAAAAAAAGGAATACAAAGGGGTGAGGGGGAAAAAAAGAAAACAAATAACCCAATTTCCCTCCTTCTGAGGAAATGGGAAATACATTGGTAGAAAGATGACAACAATAGCTTAATGACAAACTGTGTACTCATTACATAAGACCAACAGTGCTACATATGTCTTTAAAGATTAATTTTCAAAGGATGGAGAATTAAAACAATATATTTTTTTCTACTTTACAGGGTTCACCTGTCTGACAACTCCTGCTGGTAGAAAAACTCAAGTGCCATRACGAGATGCCCAGTGAAAAATTATCTACCTAGAACAGACTTTTTTTCTTTGCCATCCAAACTTCTTTGTAGGTATTTAGTAATTACTATTTACTGTACAACAACCATGTTTTAATTGGTGACTGTTGATAAATGTTTACTGAGGAAAACAGAGCTCAATGACAGCAATTKGAACACAGAGGTCTGTGCACCCTGTGCTTCAAGGATAATACAGTGTTACCAGAAAGACTCAACACATCTGGGCTGCTTCATTGTTGCTTGCTGTTGTTCTGGTATTTAAAATCGGCTGCTTTCCTATTTGCTTCCCAATCCACAGCCAGGAGAGTCTGGTGAGGCCTCATTACACGTGGTAAAAGGAGCTATGCCCTAACACTTACAAAWTTTTTGGGAAAACAAAGCCAAAGCTTCAGTGAGCACCAAGGGCTGTACATTCCTGCATACTCTATGCTCTTAATAATGCTTGAGGATTTATAAATATTGCCTCAAAACAGCCTCACTGCTTCTTGCCCTGCTGTCAAGCTGATTCCCTTTCACACATCACAGTCTGTGTCAATGGAGGCAATACAAGGGTGTCTGCTGGTGCTGCAGAACTCCTAAAGACATGGAGAGAGAGAATGGCTTTAAAAGCATCTTTGTTTTGGTGCAGGGAGAAGAGGTAAAACCTGGCACATGAAGAGCAGGGATACATCTAAGCTTCATGTATGCYATATTATCAAGTCTTCTCACAACAAGTTTGGAAAGATGCCTTAAGGGGACAGTGATGATATTTGAAAATGAAAGCTTTGGTTTGGAGGCGAGGGGAAAGCTGTTCAGTGTCCATGTGAATGCAAAGTGAGTCACTGCACTGTTATCCCCTGTGGATTGATTCACTCTGCAGTGAAACTGTGTGTCTGTTCAGGCTGGAAGGCTYAACTTTTCAATGTTCCCATGAGCAGGAGCTGTCAATAATGAATTCACAGCTGCAGGTGAAACACGCCTYAGAAATTCAATTAACCAGAACACATGTGGTTGAGGAAATGGCTTTCCTAAGTCATGTCAAGGGAAATCACAGGAAGAASTGCATTTGGCATGTGGCTGTTCAGTAAACTGGGGCCAAACAGTTCTGGGAAGAAGAGGGAAGAACAGCAGTTTCTGCTAGTCTAGACCTATTCACTGTCAGGGTCATGGCAGGGCAGGAGCCTCCCTGCAGCTCCTGTTTCACCAAAAACTAAAGAGAGGGATGACCTTTCAGCCAAAGGACCCCCAGTCAGCCCCTCTTGTACTGCACATCCAGCACACAGGCCATATATCCAGGGGTTCAACCTCACTGTTTCTTCCTCTTCTCCCATTAAGCTTCAGCGCTGGAAGRCTCTGTTATCAAATACATGTTCATCACTGAGACCAAACAGAAGTAAGCAAATATGACAACGAAAAGACTGAAAAAAGCAGAAATTGAGATAAAGCATTTCTCACTAGAGCTTACAGAGCCATTATCCAAAATGCCTCTGCTCCTCCSTGCCTGTGCACAGGAAACAGGGGCCATAGCCTAAAGATCCCTACAGCAAAGGAAGATCATTCAGCATATTCACAAAAAAGGTTCATCTATCAGCTTCAACATGGACTAAGCATCTAAGTAAAATGTGGRCCCTGGTTTGTGCAAAATATTTCTTTCATTATCTTCAATTCCCTTTTTATTGTGTTCTTACTTTGCCACATATTTAACAGAAGGAGCACGAGTCATGCCACTTCTGCACTGGCAGACATAGGATTTTATGGGCATTTGGACTCAGACTCACATGCTCAACAAAAAAGTGAGGAAAAGGTTTCATTCAGAACACAGCATCATAAGACTCACATGCTCAACAAAAAAGTGAGGAAAAGGTTTCATTCAGCACACAGCATCATAGCTAATGCTGCCCTATCAAAATTCATAATAAACCAGAGATACATGAGATGACAGAAAAAGTATGGGTATGAGAAAAGAGATAAGACAATAATACAGATGAGACAATAAGATAAAGCAGAAGGTGATGCCCTGCACTGCTTTATTTGCCTCCCAGGAGTAAAATCTGGTTAAACAAATAAGGTAAWGTGGACTCACTGAACTTCCTGTTTTGAGGTGTGATGTGCAATGCCAAACCTGTTCCTCAGCAAATAAAGTCTCTCAGCATCAAAGTATTTTCACAACTTCTCATCAATGTCATTTTGACAGTTTCCTCTCATTTTCCCACAAGATACTGCCTACAGCCATTTGCAGCTCATCCACACTGTTTTCCATGAAAAGCAGACTGCAACCACTCTTCCTTTTCATTACAAAGGTGGCAAAACACAATTTGAAACAATGTCAGTGGCTCTCCTCATCCAGCTGCCTTAGGTCAGCCTTGTGGGATCTTACATCCCATAGGGCATAGCAACAACCTCATTGTTGAAGGATGAGCGTGGTAATACTCCAAAATGTACCAGGGGACCAAGTGCCTTTGAGCTCACAGGAAGCCAAGCCATGGGGCAGGCAGAGTTAGTGTGGGCCCTTGGCACAGCTGGAACTGGGCTTCAAAGGGCACAGGAAGAAGAGCTGCATTTGCTGAACAGCACACGTGCAATGCTGCTCCTCCTCTCCCACTGCTTTACCAGTGAAGGCTTCTGCCTCCATTCCACATGACAAATCAAAGACGTGGCCTTGGGGGTCAGCAAAAACAGATGGATCAGACAGTACCAAAATAATTTTAAAGGGAAGAACCATGTCTTAACTGCTTAGTTAAGAAGCAATGACTAGAATGCCAGCCATCTCCTTACCCTTAAGTTTCCCAATACTGTCCTAAACACAATATACCTGCTCCTTGTGAAGCCATTGGACTTCTCAGCGGTGCCCAAACATAGGTGACAGATGCTTTCTGAAATCTTCAGAAAAGCCTTCCCAACCACTTGGTTCATTGCCCTTTCCTTTGCCTTTAGTGAAAGTCACAACACACTAATCCAACCCAGCTCAGCTGTGCCAGCTCTGTCACACACTGCACACAATCTCTGATTAACTCAAGATGCAGTGAAAGCTATATA